CCCCCCCCCCCCCCCCCCTCGCTATCTAGAAAGGGATGCGTGGTCAGTGGTGAAAGAGTTACGTCGCCGCCGTGTACCACGCGTGGTCACGGGCAGTATGAGTGAAAAACAAGAATCCGAACCTGGTTGGAAATGTAGTTGGTGTCAAGGAAGTGCTGGTATTCTTCGCCGGTGAGCTTGTGGCTGTCGTCCTCGTTGAGGGGGTCAGCCCAGAGCATGTCGCACAGAGGCCCCTCCATCTCTGGCTCGGCGAAGCGGTCAATCTCCTCGATGTCCGACAGGTGCTGGATCTGACACACAACAAAAAAACAAAAAAAAACGGCCAAATTTGAAACGATGATCAGGCGGGCGATGCAAGGCGGTTAACCTAGAGTAGAAATCCACCTCTTCATTTATACGAGAGGCGAAACATCTCCTCGATATGCCGCTTCTGTTTGAAGTTCGCGGGTATACACGTTGCACAGCGTCCTGCTCTTTCCGGCTGCAAACGTCCGTTGTGGCACGCACTCATGGCCTAAGCGCCTGCTTGCTGTGTGAGGCACCTAGAAAGCTCACGTACATTCATCTATGACCGGCAGCGCTTGATCTAGGAAGTAAACAAAAACGAAAACGGCCAACCTTGCGGCGATACCTCACTTCCATCGCCAACCATGCTGTATCAGACCTACCCAATGACAACAACAGCAAGGACAACGACAACGACGACGACGCTTGAGCTGCCGCAGCCAGTCAGGCCAACATGACATAACCAATGGTAACCCGATGCGATGTGTCTGACTTCCTTTGGTTGGCGGATGCCAACTGCCACAAAAGCAGACACGTGGAAAAACAATTCCACCATGGCCCCGGCTGCTGCATCTCACTCCAGCAAGAACCCTTCTAACATTACCACAACAGGACCGATACAAATACTGCCGTACAGCCAAAAATGGAATCGAAAGGGAGGGGCGTCGCCAACACAACACAAGATACGCACATCTGGACTGATTCCCCCGTGGCAAGCGAAGATCCTCCCGATGCTCGTCTCGATGAGAGCACAGATTGGCATCGTCTGCCGCAGTCAAGGCAGCAGAACAAAAACGAAAACGCCGACCAGAACGGCGCGGGGGAGGGGGTAGACGAGTAGGAGGAACGCTTAGATAACAAAGTACGTCCTGAAGAGTTGTAACTACTTGTTCTGCCTTCTGCCCAACATGTCGGCCACCTCCAGCTAGAAGGGTCGAAGTCCGTGTGGTCAGGGGGAAGCGCAAGTTCTGACTTCTGCCCAGCATGTCAACACGTCGGTCAACTCCAGCTACAACGAGTGTCCTTGCGGTCCTTGCGGTCGGAGGATAGCACGCAAGAGGGCGGATACGTGTGACCTCGAGGTACGCGTTCGAGACAAAGCTACCCAGATGCATCACTGGAAGAAGAGCATCACTGGAAGAAGAAGAAGGACTGACTCACCTGGAATGCGAGTAGGAAGCGATAGTAGACCGTCAAGCCGTACTTCACCTTGCACTCGTCCTTGAACCCGAAGTGGGCCGACACCTATTGCACAACGCAATACAATACAACACAGCGTGCGAGACCTATGGTACAGTACAGTATGTTCATGTTGTGTTGGAGGATTACATTCGAAGCCTTTCATCATAAAACTAATCATGGAACGATATCGCTCAGGGCGGGATAACGGCAATTTCCAATTCAAAGCCTGCTGCCAACACATGTCAACATCACACTCCTACATATGTCGGTTTCCTTCTCAACATCATTGTCATTGTTTCTTCTGTTCTTGAGTTGGACCCCCAAGACTCACCGAGGAGCACTCGTGATTACCACGAATGAGGAAGACGTTCTTGGGATGCCGAAGCTTGAGAGCGAAGAGGTGGAGGATCACCTCGCAAGAGAACTGACCACGATCTGGGAGACAAGAGACACATATCATAAAAGACAATTTTTACGAGAGCAGAAAGGAGGTCAACTAAGCAAGCACAAATCGGTGGAACAATAGCCAGAAAGACAGATCCTGATACGCCATACGGCCGAAATATCAATAACAGATGGTGAAGTTGTTACAAGGCGATGTGATGCTGCTGCTGCCTGCTGCGGACACCAGAAAATATACAACGTGTCAACATCGCTGTATACCTCGGTACATGGGGGATCAATTCACCCATCGTAGAAACCACGTTGCCAAGTAGGGTATGCTGGGAGTTTCAGGGTATATTTCCAAAGTATGTCCACTGGCATGGTTACACAGGATGGCTATGCGGTATGGCCATACGGGATGGGGGCTCACCGACGTAGTCTCCGAGGAAGAGGAGGTTGTGATCTGGTCTCCAGCGCTTGAGGATGTTAAGAAGGTCGAAGTACTGCCCGTGTACGTCTCCCACAACCATCACCTGACCACCACCATGACCACACGGACACGGACAAGCAAGAGGATGAAACATTGCGGCGGTCTCCGAAGACACGACATATCATCATCTAGCACCAGCTAGATTTTTCGACCGCTTCGATTTCATTTCATGCTGTTGGTGGTTGGCTCGCAGCTTGTGGGTTGCGTAACCTGGACATCACAGCAGTCCTGTACCGTAGTCTGCACAGGCGTAAGATGCCACACTTCGGCAGGAAACCACAGCACCAAAACCAAACTTAGAACGAACGCACACGTGGGCCGGTTCCCTCCTGCCATTAGCGGTTTGATAGAACTGACGCCGACAATGTTGGGCGGCTAGTGAAAGAGCTATGATAAAGAGGTTGGGACGCTCCGTTGGTTAGTTCGGTGGCATGGGAAAACGCAAACGCATAGGCGGTAATTATGCTTCAACGCTGATGCTACTCGGAGGCAATTGAGGACCGTACCTTCGTAGGTGCATACCGTATATGACACAATACAACACACCCCCTGGACCGATTTTCAACATTCGATTACTCCACGGCAAAGGGGATGCATAAACGAAGCGATACGTTTTCGGAAAGCTCTCTACGAGACGATTTCAACGCCGCCATTTTCGGCGCTGTGACTGTTCCTGCAGTTGAGAAATCAAGCTTCGAAAATTGGTCAAGGGGGTGTGTTATCTTGTGTTATACACGGCATACGTCTACCTTGGTCGATGCACCAGGCTGTTATCCTAGCTCCAAGGTCTTTGCAATCCTTTTGCTTGGCGAAATGCACGGCAACCATGCACTCACTCGCCGCGTTCGTAGTCCTTCCGTATCCAAAACGCAGCCATGCCATCTGTGTTTCAGTCCTTCATACGACCACCTGGCGCCAAGACATGCCTCCATATCTCAAGGCCTCACCGCCAGTGAGACTGTTCACCAAAACGCTTGTTGCTCAACAAAACCAAAACTTGAAAACCCAAGTGACCTCTCCTCTCCAACGTTGTGTCTCCACTGCCCGGGACAGTACAGCCTCATCAAGTCAAGCCCCATCAGAAAGAGTTCCTACCTACAACTGTCTGTGTGTCGTCGTCCTACATATAATGGCGACAGTCCCCCCACTTTCGTGGTGAGACGTGTACTACACTATTACGTGTATGTAGAGTAAAAAACTTTTCAGTGTTTTTTTTCGTACAACTACAACCATCCAGAGTCACACAGGAGGGGGGTAAACACCGGGGCTTGCCTTCAATACTTGTAGTCTTAGCCTTTGCTGTTCTCACCGGCGCATCTAACGGAACCATGTTGTCCTCCTCCCTGAAAATGTTCTTGACCGCTTCGATCAAAGCTACCGCCTCCCCCAGCTCCAGTCGCTCCTGTCGTCTACAGAACCCATACCGCACAGCAGTGTAGTACGTGTAGCAATCACGGCCACCGCACAGTCCATTGCAGCGGCGGCAGCAGCAGCAGCGGAGGCAACAACAGCGGCGCCGTAAGTGCAAACTGGCTAGGCACGAACACACGCCCTTTGTTCTCCGTGTTTACTTGCCGGTGCTCCTTTTCAAAGGGGAACGGTGCTCTTTTCAGCGGGGAATGGTTTAAAGGAAAACGAGCTAGGTTTCCAACATCTTAGCCAACCAAAGGCAACCAAGGCGCGGCGGCAGCGGCAGCGACAGCATCGACAACATCGCAGCTTCGTTGGCCAGAAACAAAACACTCACCACCTACGCTCACGCCGAATATCACTAGCTCAAAGCGGCGACGCATCCACGTACCAGCACGACACCCTTCGCTACCACCAACCTCAACACTATCTGTTGCTAAGTGTGAACGAGTCGATCGTTTGTTGTGACGTGGGTGTCGGTGACCACACACACACACACGTATTTGTGCGGGTCAGCCCATGGGACAGGACGACTGAGTTCGACATCAGAGTGCAGATGAAACAGACTGGTACACTGCTGCTCTGGACGGGTAGCATTGCTATGAGGACGACAGCGCCAACGTTGAATTAGCAATGAAGCTCCACAGGGTGTTACACAACCGCCAGCGAGAGCTCTGCCAGCATACACAACAAGCCCAACCACATGAGCAGTCATTCAACAACACTCCTCTGAGGGGCCACGAACGACTCAATAGGTACGCGAGGTACCACGCGCTAGACCGATTTGCAAACCTTCTATGCTCTGCAGCGGCGGCACCGAAAAAGACGGCTTTGGAACCGTCTCGTCTAGAGATAGCTTTCCGAAAACGCATCATCTGATTTCGACGTCCACTTCGTCGTGGAGCAATCGAGCTTTGAAGATCGGTCCACAGGGTGTGACAACTTACGTCATGCCACCTACGGCATCAGGGCCTTGAATGAACACGTTACCTGAATCGTTCGCCGATGGCATCTGGGTCGAAACCAGCCTCTCCCGCACCGGCCACCCCCCCACGGTTCACCTCCACCTGCATCATGATATCGATGTGTACGAGGACAAAGCGAGAGTAATATACAAAAAGTAGGTCTCTTTATGATTGCGTAACGCTGCGTATCCTTCCTTGTGCACAGCACGGTGGTAGTGAACCCCGTTCTACAGTCTTGATAAAACAACTAACACGGACTATCTCGAACCATGCAGGTAAAAATGGGGGTCCAACATGACCAAGTCAAGAGAACCGCGAAGGTCGCAAACTTTTGGTTGTAAGAGCAGTTAGGTGGGTTGATCCACGAATGACTTACTTTTCTAACGTGTCGGCGAAGCTCGATCACCCTGCTGTATGTGCAGGATGCTGGATGCAACCACGTAGTTCTTGAATGGGTTTCGAGTGAAATTGGTGATGCTGATCGTGTATGCTCAGCGCGAGAGCAGCCACATTGCACAACTATCACCAACTCCACGCCCAACATTGCACCCACCATACCCACCCCAGCATGACCAAGAACATGACCAAGAACATGACCAAGAACATGATAGCAATAACACCACCACCACATCACCATAACGGTAACCACAAAAGAAGCCAGAAGCATGGTATGGTATGGTATGGTATGGTATGGTATGGTATGGTGTATTACTTCACCTTGTCACTCTTGAGGGCGACCGAGCTGAGCTTGGTGTCCTTGAACCGGTGCACCATCGCGGACACAGAAACCACCGAGTACCTGCAAAATAACGCCCCAAGAAACCCACGTCAAATCCTCGGGAAAGCATGACAATGAATACTCTGGAAGTGCCGGGTGGGTGTCCGATATAAGGCCGGTATATTGCCTTGGACCACAGCGGCCTTCAGCACGTCGACAGGGATCGCCCCTGCATCGAAGAGTTTTGCTACATCCTCGATGCTTGTACGTATTGTATTGAGGTCTTGCTACATAGGACTCCTTTGACCTCTACTGCTGTTTCCAACGAGAATCATATTCATGCGTCTTCAAGAGTCTTGCAGCACTCACCTCTTAGTGTGCATGGGGCACACCGCCACGTTCTCCACAGCCCTATTGTCGCACCCTTCTACCTTACACACTCGCCCCTCCGTCTGCCCGTCCACGTTTGCCTCCTCTTGGTCTTGCCCTTGGGCGAACGTCGGCACGTGTTTCTCCGCCTTGTTGGCGCTCAAGAAAGCCGCCAACTTTGACGCCTTAGGCGCCGGGGAGGGCGGCGGCGATACCGCGGCAGCTTCTTCGATGGTTTCGTCTTGTCCCGCATCGCTTCCGACAGGATGGTTCATTTAAACACAGACAGGCAGGGTTTACTTGGGGTAGGGTTATGGCCCTATATAGACCAATTTTCTGTCACTTTAGCCCGAAAAAAACGCTATATGTACTTCAGTCCGAACACTTCTGTCAACAGTGTACGTTTAGGCATGGGTTGGGGTTAGCGACACGAGGGTTGATACTACGGCCGGGGATGGGGAGAAAACGCAAGAGCGTGGGGCAGGTTTTCTATCGCGATTTATCTGCCATGTGAGGTGCCTCCGTATACGGCGGGTTGCTGTGCCCTCGTCAAGGATCTTGACCTCTCTTTGGAGTTGGTCGCACGTTTAGTTTAGAGGGGCATGGCATGGTATGATACGGCAGGGGATGAGAGGAGTCGAACCTCAAATCTTTCGGAGCTAGCTCAAATTCCGCGCGAACTCCACAAAGAGAGAACATTTTTGTTTTGGAGATCTGTTGTCGCGGTCATGAGTTGTCGGGGGGTACATAAGAATACTTGTGACGCATCCATGTACCGAAACGGTTGTTTTCACAACGGCGGGTTCGAGAGGTTGACCTTCGTTCTTCGTCACAAGCTCGCTTGTATTTCTTTTTCTCACCCGAGCTCTTCCTCTACACGCTCTAACTCGTTGTCCCCATCCCCCTGGCCCTCCAATGTCGCGGCCTCCACATCGTACACCGGCACCGACTCCACGCTGTCCAAGACGTGTAAGGTAAAGCACTCGGGGCAGCGGACACCGGCCCCCTTCTGCAGTGAGGGAAGGCGGAAAACAACGACCATTGGTGGGAGGGGTAGGCAGGAACTACTTCAGTGCGGCATCATGAGCGAGCACACGGTGCTAGGGATTACCCGGTCCTTGCCACAGCAAGACTGTGGCTCTCTTGTTGGTGTTCGCAGCGGAACACAATAATGGGTAGTGCAGGATAGGCTGCCGGGGCTAACCAAGCAAGCACCGCAAGGTACAGTAGTTGCACGTCCAGCATGAAGCGAAGGTGAGGGAGGTTGTTGGGCTATGCTGTCGATCGTCTGGTCAAACACACGTGCTTCGACGCTCTTTCTCGTTTGGTGCGGTAAATGGTCTTTCTTTCTATCATTTTGTTTCTCTTCCGAGTGGTTTTTGTACCCTATTTTTTTCTGTTTCTTCGTGGGGTCGTGTATGCCGGGTTTTGAGACCACGGGCTCCCAATCTTTCTTTTTTAGAGCTAATGTGAGAAACAACAACAACAACAACGTGCCACGCAGTCCTTCCACCGCCAGTAGTAGAGAGCCCGAGGCTGTATGGATCACAATGCAGCGTCATCTGTTGGTTGTATTTGTGGTCTCGGGGCGACACTCTGTCTCGTTCAACCTTGTGATTTTATGTGAACTGATACGATGAGCTTGGCCGGAAGAGGCCTCTAGGAGGTCCACCCCCCCTCACCAGTCTCGTGCAACGCTGCGGAAAAATACGGTGGTCGAATCTACATGAATGCTGTCGACGACAAACATGGCAACCCTTGTGCATACAACATAGATCCCCGCACAAGTACACGTGCGACGGGCATGTTTCTTCGGTTGCGGGACGACAAGAGACGGAGAAACGAAAGAAAACATATTACTAATTGGATAGGAGGAGTGTAGCCCGTATCATGTGTCATGGAGCTACAGTAATTCTAGAGGACTACGGTTTCCAATGGACACTCTTAGGGCAAAAATCTGGAGCTCATCTCCTTGTAGCGCAAGACGGACGGGAGTGACGGCAGTAACAAACTGCTGCGTTTTGCCCTGCAGAATCTGTGCCAGCGTTTTGGCGAGTATATTCTTCTTTCGCTACACACCACTCTTCGCACACCACCAGCAACATCATGTGCGAGCATGCTTCCATGCTCCCGGGCATCAACTAACCTTGGTTCAGACCATGCACCATGCACCGTTCCGGGGTAGACTGGAACGGTCGCCAATACTGATACTGACTGCTCTGCTGCTGTGTAAGTCGTCTCCACCCCCTCAACCAATAGTGTTGATGTGAGATCAGTGCACCACCGCAGTCCGTGGATAGAAAGGCACTACAAGACAGATTGCGTGATGGAACCACGTGCCAAGAGGTGGTACCTATCGCGTTCCGACATGGAGACCACCATTACCGGCCAGTTGCGAACGAAGCGGTGGTAAGACCGCGCGGTGCTCGTCTGTACTGCTGTAACGGCACACCGCGTGTGCCTCTTTGCCAACAGCGATTGTTCTCAACTTGTCATCGATGAGTGTACGCAGAAGTCGCCGTCGTCGTGGTCTCACGGTGCTACAGGAATGAGCGCACTTCGTTCAAACCCACTGCAGCAAATAACAATACCTCTGGCACAGCACCACTCAACCCACTCGGCCGGTGGCAGCACAGACAGGAGAAGGAGCGACGAAGGACCGGCAGCTGGTGACAAACACACAAGCCCGTGAGAGGCAAAATGTGGAGGTGCTGCATTTGAAAAAAGAGACGGGCTGTTGATGAGCACTGCATCATGATGAAATGTTGCATGCTTCCGCAGCAGGCTTCATTGCAGCATGAACGAGAGTGCAGGCTATAAGCACGAGGGGCGTGGATGGGGAAAGAGCAAGACACAACAAAAACATATCGCAGCGGCTTACAGGTTCCTTCGGATCACGATGCTCCGGTGGTGCATCCCAGCAATCGTGCAAGCAAGCTGTGCAAGCAACGTGGCCGCACGGGAGCCTCCTCCCGACAGTCCCAGCCTCCTCCGATGAGAAAGCCGAATAGCAGACCGGGCAGCTATCCATATTCCTTTCGTCCAGCAAACCCCCTCGGCAGACAGGACAGAGTCCTGGTCATGACGACCCATCATGTCTTGCCTCCCGACCTGGGGCCACGCAGATTGATGTTTACTCACTGGTAGCCCCCCTCCACGCAAGATCTACGAAGATCTACAACTGTAGTGTACAGTACCCGCCTCGCGCGCGCTGCTTGTGTTTGTCCGCGGCCAGCTGTCCTAGCGGTGATTTCAACAAGGGAGAACCATGGAGGTGAGAGCCAATGTACACCATGAAATTTCTACACCGCAGGATATGTGTTGGGGGCTCCAGGTACCCAATTCGTGTGCCCTGCCTGCCCGATGAAGATGTGAAAATCTGGGCTCATGATCAGCGAGCAGCTGGGTTTGAGACCTACAAGTTGAAGCATGCGGCTGGTTCAGTGTGCAATCTCTGTGCCGCTGCATGCACAAGTTGATTGACTGACACCGCAGGAGGTGCATAGGATGCCACTTAGGGGGGGTGATGGTAAGGAACGGCGGCTCGAGGAATTGCGTCGTTCATCGGACGTGGCGCTTATCTATTGCACCTTGCACTCCGGCTGGCTCTTTTTTGACAACAGCAGCACCCAAATAGACACATGACGCGCAACACCTCGTATGTCCCCGTGCTGCTATTGCGCCTATGTCGGCAATCCATACGGAACGACACCGGACACCGCGGTCTAGCCCACACGTACGCTTGACCTCCGCCCTCGCGGTGTTGTCCGCCCCCTCCCCGTGCTGCAGAACGAGTCCCAAAAGAACGCGACAGAGATGCTCGGCGACCTAGTCACCAAACCGTCCGCGTCCGGCACTCCCAGCCGCCACTTGAAGCCCACTCCCCCTCCCACTCCTCCAACCGCTTGCCCGCCCTACCGGTCGGTCTCTGAGGGGGGCTCGTCAGAGACATTTTCCCCGCATAGCTTGAGAAAAGGTAACACGTGTAAGTAGTTGTGTCATGTGCCTGTTTGGTCGCGTGAGTGCGCGGGTGGTGTGTGTAGTTGCTGTTGCCACGGTCTTGTAACTATTGCCCCATAACGCCGGGCAAATCATCCCACAATTTCACGAAGGCTCTACCTCTTACTTGTACTGGGCGGGTTTTGTTTGTGCTGACACGGCGGGTTGCTGTAGAAGGTGGCCCCGTTCACTACATATCGCCAACACGCGTCTTGTCCCGCACGCACGGCAGCCAGGTGCGGCTGAAAACGACATCACGGTCCTGTGAGCACACGACGCACAACATTTTTTTTTTTTTTGCGAAAGGTATCACAGCACCTACAACAGCAGTGGATGATGTTGTCGAGAAGTTCGGCAGGCCCAGGGCACGGAGCCTGAGCCGGCGCGACCTTTCCCTCCCGGCATTGGAGGAGGAGGCCCCCGAAATAGTGCGCCTGGAAAATCGCCGTAGGACGGTGTCCATGTCGATCACCGAGGGACATCGCTATGGCGGCGGTGGCGGCAGCAGGTCTGCCCGTCAGGTGATGCCGCAGTCATGATATTGTCGTGGAAGCGTTGACGCAGGTGGCGCTGTGCTTGGTGGTGCGGGTTGTTTTTGCGTTGATGCTTGTCAGGCGGTCAACGTCTGTGGGATGGGCTTGACGGAACATGAGGTCTGTTCGATATTCGGCGTTCACCCCGGCCGCTTCGATGCCGAAGACCTACAGGATAAGCTGTCCGTGCGTAATCGGTGTCTGCGCAAGACAGCGGAAATATGACGCTCAGCGTGTCAAGTGTTGCTGATTCTTTACAGCATTGTGAAACCCTGCTCGGTGTTCTCTGTTTCCCACCGTGCTGCCCTCCTTCATCCAACGCACCACACGGTATCGTCGATGCTGACTGACTGACGTTGTCAGGCGTCTGGAGTGAACAAGCGGTGCCTGGACTGCAACCTTCCGCCATCCTTCGCCATGGAGGGAGAACCGGCAATTTTTTGTCGCGCCCACCAGGTTTGTGTTGCCCTCAGGGTGCATGTGCACAATTGATTGTGGTTCTCATTACGATGGCAACACCTCCACAGCTCGTCCATTCACCGAACAGAGTTTCCAAGCAGACTTCAACCAACGAACGCAGCACACCGAAAGTTCTGCCGGACGTCGACACGCTTCTTCGCAGAATCAGAACGAGTTGGTGGAGCACCGACTATCTAGGGCGTGAATGCCAAGGCAACGTCAGCAGACACTGTTGACACGACGCCATTTTTTCACGAGGGAGGTGTTCTGTCGTGCTGTTGTTGGTATCATGTACAGTGCCAACTAAATGCCATCGCTATGTTACCATTCACGTTCATACCGCACTCACTCGTTGATCGTTTGGGGCACGTCAGATGGAGGGCATGGTGAACGTCCTGAGGGAAGGGTGCACCACGGAAGGGTGCTGCAGGACTGCCTCATACGGGTTCCCAGGAGAGGTAATGCCTCGCACTAATGACATACCATGGTATATGGAGACACTTAACCGATGTAGAACGGTTTTCAAAGAGTAGCAATACCCACAACAACTGCGACGTCATGCGCGGGGAGGTTACTCGATGCGCCGGCACGCTGAGAGATAGGGGCAGAGAGAGATTTTTGCCTCTTGGTCACTTTGTCATAGAGTTAGGTGTCATTGACTGTAGGCGGATCGCTTTGAAACATCCCCCGGAAGAAAGCTGTGTTAAAGCCAGTGTGACTGCAACATGCCGTCGAAAGCAGGGCTGGTTATGAAAGAACAACTACGTAGGCGCGTTTCGCAACTCATCGTCGCAGTTGTCGACAATGGCGTAAGGATTCGGTGTTCCGATAATCCACCCGCCTCACTCCCTCCGCTGATCCTTTATTGTTGTGCTTTGAATCAGGGCCGACAGCGTTGTTTCTCGCACATGGACAAAGGGATGGTTCACGTGCTGCAACACGACCAACCGTAGCCGCCCAAAAGGATAAGGACAAGAAGGATACGAAGAGCAACACGAAGAGACGCCGGTCGTCTTGGGAATGAGAAGGCGGCAGTGCTAACCAACAACATGGCAAAGGGAAAGCAGCAGAAGTTTCATTGATGGAACATCCATTTTTGGCCAACGCCCCCCATGTGTCACGTGTATTACGTGTATTACATACATGCCTCCTTTGAGGACTCGAAGTGCACGTTTCACCGCCGGTGGCGGAGCAAGCAAGCGCTGTTTCTAGAGCCCTATCATGTGCAGTTTGACTGAAGGAATGTTGGTGTGGCACAACGGTGGTCATCATTTACTCGTTCATGAGTTTTATTACTGACTCCGGAACACGAGAGATCGCTACTAATGTTTGGCTAATGCCTGCATGCAGTAATTGATGTGAACGCATGCACAGCAGTATCTTGTTGGGAGAAGGGACTGGGGATCCATGAGTCGATATCTACAAAGTATCTTAGCTGCCTGCGCGCGTTCCCGTCCATCGGCCTACTCGTTATCGACGTACGGGCAAACAATGTGTTGGGGGGGCGGGGAGGGGGTAACTTGCCCAAGTTACCGGTGGAGAGAGCACGAGTTGGCACGTAGCCACAAAAGTTAGCTTCCGTGTGTTCGGCGGATTCCCCTACAGCCGTCCAAATGGACACGGCCGGTCGTTGGACATCCGGACGTAACGTGTGTATTGTTGGTCGCTTCGTTTGCTCCTGCACCGAGTTTTCAGTGCTGGACGGTAAGGGAGGCAGGGAGGGTGGGTGTATACATTGATGCGTTCCCGGTGTTATACAGTTGTAGTGCCCCCTTTGAAGAGTTGCAAGGCGAGCGTTCCACCACATGGACGTGCAGCAGTAGTAGGACCGGTCAATATACCGAGGAATACAGGAAGAACCATTTGTCGTTCGTTGCGTGAAGGAGCGAATAGCGTTGTTGCTGGTGGGATGGTTGGTTTGCTGCAATTTGGAAGTCCAGCATGATTGGATGTCGTGCCGTTGATTGATCGTGTTTCATGTGCAATACTCGACTATTTTCCCGACTAACACAATAAACAAAGTGATGATACCAAACTTTTCACGAGTGGGGTTTTTCGATTTTTTTTTAATCGCCGAATAATCGGAGTCCCGCACGTTCCTGGTACAGAAAGGCTGCGCTGGGCTCTGAATATTCGGCGAAGGAGATGATGATATTTGGTGCGTTCCCATGGATGACCCGGTGCACATTATATGTCTTTCCTGTGGGTCACTACTTGTCTCTTTTTTTTTTTACTTCGTTCTCCCATTCTCTTGAGGTGTTTATTTACGTGAATGTCCTGCGTTGTACGTATGTGCTTGGCTAGCGTCGTTCGTACAGCCACTCAACCCATGAAGGTAGCCCAAGTCGCCATTCCTCCTCCTGGCCACTGCGTCATGAGCCATGAGTCAAGAAAATTCACCATACCTTCACAACAAATCAAATGTGGTCGCATTGGACTGCAGTGCTTCCTACTTCGTACAACATCTGCTGCCAACAATTTTGTCATTTTTTTCTTATCTGTGGATGACTGTATTTTACACGCGTTTTTTTAGGCTATTTTTCTCTCAGGTAATCAGTAGACTAGTAGTATGCGCCCCCTTGAGCAGCATGTCTGTACCTGTGTGCGGGTCGCACGACACACATCACCATTTGTCACGGCAGGCTGCGAGGAAACCATCGAGGCCACCGTGCGCAAACGGAGACTGTGTTTCGCGGACATTGTTATGCGCATGGAGGACAGCCGCCTCCCCAAGCGCATGCTGTTAGGAGCGATGGCGGGGGGCGTGGGATACCGGGNTTCATGAGGAAATTGCACAGTCAGGAGGCGGAAGCGTCCGCGAAGTGCCAGCGCGCGAGGGAAGCAGAAGCAGAGAGTACGGCCATCTCAGGACCGAAGAGAGAGTCGGGGAAGCGGCGGTGGGGGGGAAGAAACGGCGACCGGGCACTGCTGTAGAAGCGAGTAGGGCGGCAGAGGCAGCGCTTGTGGCGAACTAGTCTATATGTACCCGACTGATGTTGTTGCGCCCTGTTTCCCTCCCTGCTGTATGCTATACTCCTTTATTTATGTCCTTTGTGTTGCCTTCGGCCTCTGTGCTGTGTTTCCCTTCGTTTTTGTACGTCTGGCTGTCTGCCGACCTGCCGCCTCTTTGTCCTGTTTGCTCCGTTACTCCCATGCCCTGGTGCGTAGTGCCTGGTGCTGGTACGTTACCCTTTGATTTTTTCTTTGGGCGGGTGTGGGAAGCGTCCTCCAGTATTTATTTGTTTAATATCACACAACAAATCCATCTCCATCTATAGAAATAAGTCTAAGATAAATTATTTGCAATGAATCCATAGCGTGAGCGAAAGGCTACCTGTATGTCTACGGTTTCCCAGACAGCATACAACGATAACTCCCCTGTGGGTAACAGGCTCAACAAGGCAGTTTGGTAGCCATCTTGTGTATCTACCTGTATGTATGTTATGTTGGGAAGTTGTAGACGGAAGATTTAGGGGAACTCGGTTTGTCGGGTGTTCTATTATGGCACCCTGCGTCATTTTGATTATCGGTTTCCGAGGGCTCTTTTCTCGAACGGTTGGTGCGATACCTGTTCTTTTCTTTCGTTCGATCNAATTATTTGCAATGAATCCATAGCGTGAGCGAAAGGCTACCTGTATGTCTACGGTTTCCCAGACAGCATACAACGATAACTCCCCTGTGGGTAACAGGCTCAACAAGGCAGTTTGGTAGCCATCTTGTGTATCTACCTGTATGTATGTTATGTTGGGAAGTTGTAGACGGAAGATTTAGGGGAACTCGGTTTGTCGGGTGTTCTATTATGGCACCCTGCGTCATTTTGATTATCGGTTTCCGAGGGCTCTTTTCTCGAACGGTTGGTGCGATACCTGTTCTTTTCTTTCGTTCGATCATTATTTTTTTTTCTTTATAGCACACAACAAATCCATCTCTATCTATAGAAATAAATAAGTCGAAGATAGATTAGCAATGAATCCATAGCGTGAGCGAAAGGCTACCTGTATGTCTACGGTTTCCCAGACAGCATACATACATGCATACAACGATAACTCCCTTGTGGGTAACACGCTCAACAAGGCAGTTTGGTAGCCATCTTGTGTATCTATCTGTAGACTATAGTCTATTTATGTTGGGAAGTTGTAGACGGAAGATTTAGGGGAACTCGGTTTGTCGGGTGTTCTATTATGGCACCCTTAGCAATATGTGGTTGCGGAGCAAGCGCGTCTCGGGGCGTGTATATATAGTTTCGTCATCAACTTATTTTTTGCTATGTATGGGGGCATGTGCGGCGCGGGAGAACATATTGTATATATATTATATATATATTCCTTGTTGTGTAATAATGGCGTGTTGTCGTTCAATGTGTTGTTTTCTTTCCGAGTGGTTTGTGCCCTATTGTGGTTTTGTTTCCCCGCGGCGTCGTATGTGCCGGGTTTTGAGACCACGGGCTCCCCATTTTTTGTGGACTCTTCCACAGAGCTAACTAATAATAATGTGAGAAACAACAACAACAACAACCACACCAATTGACAATAGTGCTGTACAACAGAGTCTGCAAGTAGTTTCTGATTGGACAGCGTTTTTTCTTGCTTCGAGCCTTCGCACAACAACAAAAACCATTCTAGGTGGCAGGCCTGAGCAACAAGCCGGAGAGGTTGCGAGTACAGCAGTGTATGAACTTCAGATTTGAGTGAACTTTACGAGTGCGCAGGTTTCCTCTGAATTTTCAGCCTTGTACAGGTGTAGGTTTGGTGGATATGAGCATGGCGTTTCGATGTGGTTTGTGCAGAGTAGAGTGCAGAGAGAGAGAGAGGAGAGAGAGGGGAAAACACGAAAACACAGCTTCTTTGGCAGCAACGGCAGGAGGTGCACAGCACGTAAGGCAGACGCAGAGGCTGCGAAACAGAGGGCCTCAACACCTTCGCCGTGTGTATTGAAGCGAAGGCTGGTCTGGTCCAGCACTTGCACAGCTGAGGTGACAAGCGACGCGTTGAGGCCTTGTCTGCAGCACCCTCTCACTCCATTTCAGTCTGTACGTACATGTGTCTGCAGTCGATGGATCCTGCACCCCAGCTACAGCGGTAGCTCGGCGTGGAGTGCAACTCTTGCCTGTCTCTCGCCGTGCTTACGAGTACTTGAGGGGAGCCACCCGCTCTGTCTTACCACAATTCCCTGTCGTGTCATTTTCCCCGCGCCATTTTGTTCCTTCGTTTTACCTTTTCCAAGGTCAAGTACCCCACGAGAGCGTAGCGCTCACGCTCCTGAAGCGGTAGCGGAGCAGTCACCTTGCAGAGCAGTCAAGTAGTATCATTACCACCATGGGTCGGCGTGGAAGAGCGTCTACTTCAACAGGGACGAAGCACACGGCATCTCTACTGGTCCTGGCTGTGCTCGCGTGCGTTTTATCGATAGCGTCTTCTTTCGTCGCTTCAAACGCAGCAATCGCATTCGGCAGGCAAGGCAGGGATAGCAGCAGCGGTACCAGGGCAACACAGCCGCAGGGCACAGGTAGCATGTTGTTGGAAGGAGCGCGGGGAAGACTAACGAGGCGACAGCGATCATCTTGCTTGGGTGCGGGTGACGGGGAGGGGGCATCATCTGCTGTCCCTACGGGGGGCGGCAAAAACAACGCGCTGGGAGCGGGGGAGGCGGGGAGGGGAGGGGGGATTGCACCACCAGCAGGACGACCATCGCTGTCTTCGCAATCGGCCGCTCCCGCCAGGACGGAGATCCCGACAGACGTTGCTGTCGTAGGGGCGCCCCAGCAGGTAGGCTGTGGTAGGGGTAGGCAATAGATCTAGGCAGTGAGAGTGATCGCTAGCATGGAAACGAGTTTGCTGCATCATGCGCAGGGGCGTCTCATTCCTGGTTCGATTTTTGTGAGATACGCCGACGGTGAGGCGGGGCGATTATTTGTTCACCTGTTTGTATCGTTCAGGCTGGAGGGAGCGTGGGCCTTTGCTGCCGAGCGGCACGATTTATCTAACATGTAGTTATAGTATATGCATGCATAGGCATGTTTGGTATTAAGGAAAAATAAATACACACACAGAAAGACCACCCGTTCGAGATATACCCCCAGTCGAACGGGATGTCGTGGAGTCTTTTCAGTGAGGGGAGGAAAACCGGCTGGGTACTGGACTTACTTCGAGTCCTTCCATTATGCGGAATTCATCGAAACGCAACCCAAGGTCAAGTTGAATGTTGGGTGGGTTCGGTTGACTCGGAATGTTGAATGTTGGTGCAACAAAGAAAGGTCGTGTTAGACTCCGAGTATTTTTTTTTCTGCGACATCCTGCCGTGTACATTAATGTTGGATATCGATTTAATTCATAGATTCGATATGATATCGCCCGTGAGTGGTCGATATCGATATCGATGTTGGCTCGCTGTGCGAGCCCAAGCGCCCCCCCCCGGCTGGTGAGGGGGCCCCGCTGGAGGCGCCGCCGGAGGCAATAACATTGGAGCAACCTCGCTTCATTTCCCATCAAAATGACCGAAAAATAGGTCTTCGAAACCGGCAGTCAGTGTACAGCCAACTGCTTGAAAAAACAATGTGTTGGTAAATAGTCATCTAGACTTATAAAAAATAATCTTCATCGGTTCATTTTTCTAACTAATGCTTCAAGAAAGCTCAGCGGTATCGCACACCAACAAAAAATGCAAGCTTTCTTGTGGCAGAAAAGCCAAGCTCTCGCAACAATGAGAGATAGATGGCACAAAAATGAGAGATATTAGTGGATAGCTGCAGCTACTTCGTTTAGTGCGCGCATTTCACGGCGTGCAGCTGCTGTGTGCTGTGTGCTGTGCAGCTGTATGGGGTTCCGTGTGGAACATCGGGGGTCCCGTGGTGTATTTATCGATTTATCGTTTCGATATCGAAATATCGAAATATCGAAGAGTTCAAATGTTTTCGATAGCCGATATCGATACGATAAATCGATACGATAAATCGAAAAAATGGATACGATATCCAACGCTAGTGTACATACGGCAGTCGACTCGCTGTGGTTGTGACTGTTTTACAGCAGCAAAGTGCGAGCGATCATAAACAGCCTAGACTACAGTGGTAACTTAACGTGCAGAGCTCGGTTGCTCCGCAGCCAACACGGTTGGTAAAACCGCCCGGAAGGTTGCAAGAAATTTCTCGACGACATCTGTCTGTTTGGAGTGCGTGCATGATCCATCGGCACACACTGTTCACCCGTGCAGCCCTCCTGCCTCCGTGTAGACGATGTACATCTCGTCGCTTTGAAAATGTGAGATGTTGCTGGTGACAGTATTCGGCAGGGCCTTCGACTGCGTGTGAGTGCGCCCCAACGCTGCGAAGTTGAGTTCAAATGTCGCTCTTGTTCGAATAAAGAGCCGCCAGACAGACATCCGTCGACGATACATGTGTTTCGTTCATTCGAAGGGATGTTTCAAACCAAGCCACTTTTACTAGTACATCGCAGTGGACAGATGGTGATGGTCATCTCGTTCATTAGAAGACCATGATCTGCTTGGCCTTATTTTGTTGAGGTGAGTATGATCAAGGTTCGCTTGGCTGGGGATCGTATCGTATCGGACTGTCAACACTGCTCCTCCTCTGTTCAGTCTATTTTGGCTGCTATGGTCACCTACACTTGGTGCTCCCCATGGAAATATTGTAGTTATGTGGCTGACCGGTACACGTGTGTCGTGTGGACACTGCTCCCCGTTGTCGGGCGATTCCACCACAAACTGGACTGGTGCGAATCGGTAGTTTCAAGCAATCTGCTGTCTAAGTCAGGCGTCCTGCCTTGTCTCTCTCAGCTGTCGTGAGAACAACCGTCTCTCTCTTGCTACGACAAGGATCGGTGTTGCCGCACGCGGTCTATCCAACTTGTCATTTAATTCGCCGCGGTCATGTACGCAACAGAGCTAAATACGATTTTGGGCTGTACTTTTATCGGCAAACCACCTGTGCACTCGTCTTTTCTAAACCATGCACGACGTGGACTACGTGCGTGCTCTGCCCCCTCATACCCGGCATGCTATCCTACGAACAGCAACACTTGCAGCCCAGTGCTTGTTCCCTATGTTGAATATCCTATGCATAGCTAGCGCTAATCCTAACCCCTATTTCCAGGGGAGGACCCTGAATCATGTCCTAGGTGGTTTGCAACGTATCCGAGGGAGATTTGATGTATCTCGAGGTTAAGCGGTTCACTAGATTGTTGAAGGCAAGCTCTGATTAATTCGTACAACAGAAGGAAAGGCGATGGAGAGGGTGATACATATCGTGCCATGGTCACACCAGCGAACAGCAACAGGTGCAGCAGCAGCAGCAGGTGCTGCAGGGAGGGCAAGCCCCGACACGCGGCAGCGACATAGCATACTTAAAACAGAACATGTTGATTGATCACCGACGTTCTTGCTCCTGACGTTGAGCCCTGTGACATGTCACCAACTGGCGTTTGGAGTTGCCGTTAATGGTGGTGCTCTTGCTACTGTGGACGCCCTTGTTGTAAAGCCTCTCATGGTGACCACGCTGCTTAGCTGTGCCACCACAAGGAACGTTGCCGTTGTCATCATCACTGTCGCTGCTTTATCCAACATGCATCCCACGACATTGTGGTGTCAGGTAGTACGAAATGCTCCAGCACGCGACTCGGTCTCGATGTATCGCTCAATTTGCGACGTTGCGTCGCACTAGGCTGGCTTCATTCGTTTTGCCGAGATGCTCATGACCGCAAATCTTGCCTGCCTTGTACCTATGGCTGAGACGTTTCTGTCACGATGACGGCATGGCGATATGGTATGATGGTTTTGATGGTTTCAGGTGATGGAAAAGGAGTACTCGATCGAGGCGATCCTTAAAGAGCTCGCTGAGATCCAGAACCAGGGGCCAAAGAACGTCTGCGTGCTGGGGACGCGACACTGCAGTTTCTTGCACCAACAGGTAACTCGAGCTTCTGGTTGCGGTGCAGTATCTCGAACGATGAATCGAACGCATGTGTTTTTTTGTACATTTTTTTTTTACGGTACAGACTACTTGCACGGTACACCCCGTACAGTAGTGCATGCAACATTGTGTTCTTCGGTGCACGAGACGGCAATTGGATACAGTATGATTTTGTGGTACGGGTAAAATCGGTGGCCAATATGGATGCCAGATCCTGCCCCGCAGTGGCGTGTCCGATGTCGTGCCAGAATCTTGGAACGGGTTCCTCCGCTGTGAGGCGGATGTACAAATCAAGCGATACGTCTTGTTTCAAAGCTACCAACGAGACAGGCGGTTCCAACTCCGTCACTTTCGGCACCGCCACTCTTTGTGCTGTGGATGAAATTATTGTTTTTTCATAAAGGTTAGGTTGGGTTGTGGCCACGGAAAGGAAAAGAGTCCGCGTCAGTTTGGGCAGTTGGGATGTGTACGAGACACTTGAGCAGAGACCGGAACGTTTTTTCGCGGGAAGGCAAGAACAACAACACAAACATTGTTTTCGGTGACAATATGTCCGTGCCAACGCGTGACTTCGGACTGCGGTTACAGATAATCGAGCTCCTGGCGTACGCGTTGGTATTGAGCGGGAACCACGTGTTCACTTCGGGGGCCATGGGGACGAATGCCGCCACAATAAGGTACAGTACAGTATATGGGCATGAGAAAAACAGTATAGTGTTTCAAGATCAACGTATCCCCCCACGCCCTTGTAGATTGCGAAAAGACCTCTGTGACAAGGCACGTTGATGTGCCGTTCTTGCCCAATGACCGACAACAATCAAGGAGGTACCAGAGCAGCGGTTTGGGTAGGGTATAGGTAGGATCGCCACAAAAAGGTACAGCGGGTCTCAATAGACCGTTTTTCCTTGGTGGAGAGCAATTCTCTTGCCGGGGAGAAAAGTTCAAATACACTGGTCATGATGCTCATTCAATCGCGATTTGGTGGGTGAGGGCTCCGGGTAGCACCAAGAACCTGCCATTGTTAGCGGTAATGTGCTTTCAAGTTGTGTCTTAGTGAGGGCGTGTACCATCCAAGTCATTTTTTTTATTTGATCACCTCTGAAGACATGGCGGGTATCGTGTGATTGGTGCATGCCACGCACGGACAGTAGACTTCGCAGCAATTTTCCCATGAAGTAAACATGTTGGATATAGCACGCAATCGGGGGAAGTTTGCTCAAGGTTAGGGTTAGGGATAGGGTCCGCCTATCCCCTCCCTGTTGTTTTCCCACACAGTAACTTAATTTATCGCGAAGGCTGCCCCGCACGGAACATTGATTGCATGCAGTGAACCCTTGGCTCTTGATGTCGGACGTTACGTCTTCCCGCCGGAATAATGTTGGTGATTTATTTTGTCTTGACACGTCCTTCCTTGCCTGCGTTGAAAACGCATCGAAAAACCAGGGGCGCTCTTCGAGCAGAGCGGAAGGAGCTCTTGACGGTGGTGTTGCCACAGAGTTTGGAAAAGCAGAGCGCAGCGTCAAGAGAGCTCATACAGAAGGTACGTTGGTAGTGAGGACGTTATCTCGACAGACAGGTACTATTTTCTGTCTCCGGAGGCATTTCTGCTGTTGCGTTCTTCTTTGTCCGAGGCGAAGCATCCTTTCTGACAGTCCGATATCTTCTTCTCTCATGAATCTGGTGTGGTATCTTGGGCGGAGCTAGCTTTGCTTCACCGTGCCTGCAGATGGCCGTCCTGTCTCTCCACCGTTTGTGTTGCGATGTTATTCTCTACGCGTCCCCACCCCCCGACCCCGTGCTCTCGAACTTAGCTCCGTCCCCTCCGGTGGAATACCTCCGTGTCTTGTTGGTGTGTATGGTGTTCATCTCAGAGGCACGCGTGAAAGCGCCGCTGCCGCGGACGTGCTCCGATGACCGGTTGCTCAATCGTGCACTCTGAAGTTCTTCCTTCCCACTTGTGTTGTCAGCGAAAAAAAATATTTCAACCTTTGTGTTTCGCTTCATCGTAACCGTAACCTCTCTTTTGTCCTTTGGTGTTTCTGTCGTTTACCGCATGTATG